CACGCACATCCTCGGCGTAATCACGTAGATCTTCGCCAGGTTGGCGCCGGCGCGCCTCTAAGGCCGATTTTGCTTCCTCCTCGTCACGCGTGCCAAAACGCTGATCGAGTCGGCGCATCAGCTCCTCTAGCTGTGTCTGTGCGCTCGCGGGTAACGCTTCTACAAAATCGGCTGCCCGCCCATCAAGATTCATATTAAGTTGACGTACTGCCTGCGCGTCCGTCCATCCATTAATTTCCTTGGCCCCTAAGAGATTGCGGGCGAATGCCTTCCACGAAGGGGCCCCCCGGCCGGTAAATATTAGTCTTATTTTAGCGTGAGGTAACGCGGGGGTCCATCCCACTTCTGACACCAATTTGTGGGGGTCGCTAGCCCCCGAAATCCCTCCCTCGATAATGCTAACGGCCGGGCTAGCATCATCAATCGCCCCCCCGCTGCTAAGCGAACCGCTGCTAAGTTCCTCACCCATGGTGTGGGAGCCGTCGCCCGAGGGTTCCACTCCACCGCGGGTCCGCGTAGCAGGCATGGTTAATTACGTACGCGCACACCCACACACACAGCTCTGTACGGCACTCACTCTTGCGCTTCTCTGCGCCGCGCTGGCCGCTCACGTTACAATCGCGCACCTGGGGTACGCCGATTACGCACGCCGCGAGCTTACGCACACACAGTACCACACGCGTTCCCACACGCAACCCGCGCGCTCAGCTCCGCGCAGCGCTCACTCACGTGGCGAACCACTGTGCACACAGCGCACCCACACGCTCACACTGCACGACAAGATCACGCGAGACCACGCTTCGCTATTAATGATTTATTATATGCCACATGCGAATTGATGTTGAATCAGTGAGTCGACGAGGCTGGCCTATTCCACTAAACCTGTACCTATTCCCTATTTATCGGCTATGATTCTAATTCCCCTTCTTACTCACTGTTAAGTGTCCACGGCGGTCCGCTGATCCTTCTGTTAACCGCGTGCCTCGGTGCGTCGCACGGACGTCCGGGTCGCTGGCTCGAGCTGCGTCTGGTCGCCTGGCGCTGGAGTAAGAGAGCGATTTCCCCTCTGCGCTCCTCTATTTATCCTCCCTACCTCCCAAAGGGGATGCTGCGCTGAACAATGGGCTCGTGCACCCCAAGCCCGCGCACGGCAGTCCCCAGGCGCTGTTGATATGCTAATCAGTGTGCTGCGTGCAAGGCGTAAATCCTAATTACTCCCTTACCCTTCCTACCAATGGGGCTTGCGCGCTCAAGCGCAATTATCCCAACCCTCCATGACTATGCGCAACAGCCCCTGTGACCCCGCTATTCATGCTGTCCCGTGCCTCCCCTGCTTGCCCCGTCGACTCGTGGGGGTGTGTGTGGGGGGAAATGCGCCTCAACCGCGGTGGCCGAATGCCCCACGCCGCGACCACACCATATTAAGGCCGGCAGCAGCGCCGCGGTACCACGTAGCACGGGGGAGGTCATCCAATTCCCTGATCGCAGGAAACCGTGAGAATTAATCCCGATAAGGGTCTCTCGGATAAAAACCGGTCGATCAGGTAACCTTCCCTTCCAGCTCTATGGGGGGGGGGGGGGGGGGGATGCGTGCGGGTGTGTGCTTATGTGGGGCGGGTGATTGGGGGCAGTGCGGTGGGGGAAGCCGGGCGGCTCCCTGGCTCGGCAGAGCGGCCCCGTCGCTGTGGCACCACAGGCCTACTGCAGAGAAGGCATCGCGAGGCCTACTGCAGAGAAGGCTTCGCGAGGCCTATTGCAGAGAAGGCTTCGCGAGGCCTAGTGCAGAAGGCTTCGCGAGGCCTAGTGCAGAAGGCTTCGCGAGGCCTAGTGCAGAAGGCTTCGCGAGGCCTACTGCAGGAGGCTTCGCGAGGCCTAGTGCAGAGAAGGCTTCGCGAGGCCTACTGCAGGAGGCTTCGCGAGGCCTACTGCAGGGAAGGCATCGCGAGGCCTATTGCAGAGAAGGCTTCGCGAGGCCTATTGCAGAGAAGGCTTCGCGAGGCCTAGTGCAGAAGGCTTCGCGAGGCCTAGTGCAGAAGGCTTCGCGAGGCCTAGTGCAGAAGGCTTCGCGAGGCCTACTGCAGGAGGCTTCGCGAGGCCTAGTGCAGGAGGCTTCGCGAGGCCTACTGCAGGGAAGGCATCGCGAGGCCTATTGCAGAGAAGGCTTCGCGAGGCCTACTGCAGAGAAGGCTTCGCGAGGCCTACTGCAGAGAAGGCTTCGCGAGGCCTACTGCAGGGAAGGCATCGCGAGGCCTACTGCAGGAGGCTTCGCGAGGCCTAGTGCAGAAGGCTTCGCGAGGCCTACTGCGACAGGCTTCGCGAGGCCGTCCCTCTGTCTGACAAGATGGCCGCCCGCTCCCCCTGCGATCCGTGAACTAAATGAACTAAACAAGATGGCCGTCGCATCCGGCGCAGCCAATGACATCGCCTGTTGCAATCCTTGCTCTGTGGGCTCGCGAGTCAGTGGGGAGGGGGGTGTTGACGTCATCGCTCTGTGGGCGCGCGAGTCAGTGGGGAGGGGGGTGTTGACGTCATCGCTCTGTGGGCGCGCGAGTCAGTGGGGAGGGGGGTGTTGACGTCATTATTAAATAATAAAATAATAAAAAGAAACCTTTTACTTATTATTTTTATTTTCATTAGTTTATTATTAAATAGCATTTTTATTTTAATAATACAATTTTACAATTACTTTTTTGTTTTATTATTATTTTATTATTTCCATTCTACGTGACTTTACCGAAAGAACCAAGAAGATGAATCCCTGCAGTCACGAAAGCTTTAAATCGAAATGACCACCGCGTTACAGGAGAACAACAGATCGTGAACGCGCTTCGACGATTCATGGCAACGGCAACACAAAGCGCCACGCGCAGTCTCTTGCGACCTGCTGTGGAGTGACTCATGCAGCCAGCTATGGCTGCAGGGTTTTGGTAGTACATGTTGTTTATGCCATTTATTGTGAAAATTCCGTCACAGTTCCTATGATTGCTTTTTCATTGCTTTCATGGCTTTATTTTGGTGATTTCGAAAAGTGTATTGGTTTAGCCATGTTTGTGTTGTTGTAGTACAGAGTTAGACTGATGGCCTTAATCTAAGTTGTCTTGTGGTTGTTGTTGTTGTTTGACTTGCATCCCACTGGGATTTTTGCACACAGCGTTGGTGTACGGTGTTTTTTCTGCAATATTTTTGCTGTCTTTTCTTGGATTTTCTGTTTGCACTTAGTCACATATTCACTTTAAGATGTTTTTTGTTCATGTTTTTTGTTTTTTGTTTGTTGCGGTTGCACCCGATTCAAGAGCTGAATGGCTCACAGGGCTATACCTAATAAATGAACTTGAAATGAACTTGAAACCAGCGGTGTCTGCCCTTTAACCCCTGACCCCCCCGTCCAGCTCTTCCCCGCGCGTGCGATTGGTGCGTGTTGTCGTGAGAGCGGAGATGTCGTGTTTGCGTGGTGCGTGGTGCGTGAGGGTGGCTCGCAGATCCCTCAAAGTGCTTGAACCATTCACCGACTCCTCTTCACATGTAATCTGACCGCTCAAAAAGAGCGAGTTTTATTCTTTAAAAAAACACGATACTTTCTTCCAATAGGCACCTCAATTTATTCTAAACCATGTTCCATGATTGATGCAATGTTGGAATGCTGCTCAAATACCGTTCCTAAATTAGACATAAAGGGTATCTGGAATGAGCAGAGCATTCGTTTAATTGCGAGCAATTTGGGACGAGGGCAACTCGACGACGGTGTCCTTATTAATAACAAAACCCCTGTGCACGACTGACCGAGCTCTTTGCAAGCAAGTGGGTGGCTCTGAAAAGAGCCGTTGTTGTGGTGGTAGAGGCGGCGGCGCGTTCACTTCTTTGCCTGAGAGGTCTTCTTGGGCAGCAGCACGGCCTGGATGTTGGGCAGCACACCGCCCTGGGCGATAGTCACGCCGCCCATGAGCTTGTTGAGCTCCTCGTCGTTTCGCACGGCGAGCTGCAGGTGTCGGGGGATGATCCTCGTCTTCTTGTTGTCGCGGGCGGCATTGCCAGCCAGCTCGAGGATCTCGGCAGAAAGGTACTCGAGCACGGCGGCCAGGTAGACGGGTGCTCCAGCGCCGACCCGCTGGGCGTAATTGCCCTTGCGGAGCAGCCTGTGAACGCGACCCACGGGGAACTGCAGGCCGGCGCGGGAAGAGCGGGACTTTGCCTTGGCGCGAGATTTGCCACCGGTCTTGCCTCGTCCAGACATCGTTAAGGGACCTAGGATGCAAAAAGCACTGGAGACAAAGTACGAACGATTTGTGACGTTAACACGCACCACGGGAGCGGCTTTTATAGCGGAGACGAGGATCGTAGAGCGCGCCGCTGCTGATTGGCTCCTCTCGCTCGAGTCCCGCCCTCTCCTTGAGCCACCAATGACAAGCCGGGACGCGAGGATTCGATGTTGACTTTCATTATTTGTATCCATATATGTTTTAATGCGCACACGCATCTTATGAATTAAACAATGCGATACACGTACTTAATAGGTTCAAGTTTTAAGCATGATAGAGTTAATTTATGGGCGCGTGCTGGCAAGTCAAACTTATAAGCGGATTCCGCAAATATCAATGTATTATTGATTATAATCATCATTTTGAGGGACCGCATTGGTTATAAGAAATCATTGTGATAGCCTTGAGCTCGTGATTGATCGCCCACGTACCTATACGGTGTATAGATATTTTTCTTTAACCGCCTGTTCGGGCAATGCCCAAAAATATATGTGCGTGAATAATTCAGTCTCAGTTTGCAAAATGTGAACTTCTTATCAGCTCGGGCTTGAAACAGCATAAACCAATATCTTTGGGTTAAATCTATATATATATTAAATCGTGAATGTCTGTCTGTCTGTGTGTGGATGTCGGACCATACGCACTTTCATTGGACGCCGGTTGCCCCTGCCAACGCCTAGCGACGACTTCGCCGCTTTCATTGGACGCCGGTTGCCCCTGGCAACGGCTAGCGACGGGCTAGCAGTTGCGGGGTGGACGCCATCTTTAATTCCCGTTAAAAATAGGCGCACGCATTAACACGCGACTCTGAGGTAAATTCATCTAAGTTTCACGTCCTCTTTACTCCCCCCCCCCCACCACAATGTGTGCTATTACTATTATAGGGTCGGTAGATTATTAAATTATAGCGATTACACAGTATTATTGTAGCGCGGTGGGGGGGGGGGGGAAACGGCACCCGTACCCAGCGTCAGCCGGGTGGCAAAATCAGGCGAGGCGGGAGGCTCTGCACGGTGCTAGGCCTCCACACCCACCACGCGACTCTGAGGTAAAATACATTTCACCAAAATAACTCTTTTGTTGTACATTATGTAAACATGGTTTCACAACGCTTATACACAACACCAACGTGTGATGTTGCAGAATGAGCGGCGGGGTATAGAAATGAACTTCATTGTCGCTTACGCCTGACGACTCGTGAGAGCCGTGACCAGCAAACGAAGGTTTCCGGCACCCGAACTTTGAAGGACACACATGGAAGCTTTCTCACGAGTAAGTGGTGGCTCTGAAAAGAGCCTTTGTGTTGTGCTTTGAGGGCCGAGCTGGGCGTTCAAGCGCGCTCGCCACGAATGCGGCGGGCGAGCTGAATGTCCTTGGGCATGATGGTGACGCGCTTGGCGTGGATGGCGCACAGGTTGGTGTCCTCGAAGAGCGCGACAAGGTACGCTTCGCTGGCCTCCTGCAGAGCCATGACAGCGGAGCTCTGGAAGCGCAGGTCGGTCTTGAAGTCCTGCGCGATCTCCCTGACGAGGCGCTGGAAGGGCAGTTTGCGGATGAGCAGCTCGGTGGACTTCTGGTAGCGGCGGATCTCGCGCAGAGCGACGGTGCCGGGCCTGTAGCGGTGAGGCTTCTTGACGCCGCCCGTGGCCGGAGCGCTCTTTCGGGCCGCCTTGGTGGCGAGTTGCTTGCGGGGGGCCTTGCCGCCCGTGGACTTGCGAGCCGTCTGCTTGGTGCGAGCCATGGCTTGGTGAGGGCAAAGATTCTCACAGGCGGGGAGGAGAAGGCGGCTTATGTAGCCCAGAGCGCGCGCTCACTGGTCAGCGGAGTCGTGACGTGCGAAGAAGGGGCGCGTGCTGATTGGTTGGCAGCGTGCAATGATCTCGAGTCGTCAACTCTTCTTCATCAACGAAATGTTCTCACTTTGGAGCATTGCAGAATGCCGCATCACGATGCAGTAGTTCCGTTTGAGCGCCGTCCATGTCTTTAACGGATGTTATTTTCTCAAGCAAACACCTTTCCGAAAACAACTTTACAGTGCTCCGCGTGATCTAAATAAAGTGTGAAGAAACTGCACTTCATTGGAAACAGTAATACGTAAAAAATATTCTTTGTTTCTTTCGGTAAAGTCACGTATAAAGAAAAAATAATAGCATACGACGTTTCGATTGCAACACAAGCAATCATCAAGTATAATGAAATAGCGACATAAAATCTAACCAGAAAAAAATTATAGACAGACATATAAGCAGACAGATATCACCAATTTGTTTCTTTATATACGTGACTTTACCGAAAGAACCAAAGAATAATTCCTGCAGTCACGAAAGCTCCAAAGTTAATACGTAAAATTGTCGGAAAGAGGTGATCACAGGGATAGATATCTATTCTCTTGGCATTGAGATGATGATCATCAATTATACTGCACGAGTCATCCATGCTAGGCGCTTACTTTTACATAGATGTACACGTGCAAAATGTTAGTTCCTGCCCGAAAATACAACCACGAATTAAATATATTGCATTGCAAGGTTTTGGCACCAAATATCCAATGTAATATCTGAATGGGCTGCAGATGAAATCAATGGACAAACAAGTCCAAGAAATGCCTGCTGGTGAACATGTGCCATGAATATTGTTATCGCTTTTATTCCCGTGGAAACAGGTTAAAATGCGTTCCATCTCTCCATTTCCACTCAATGAGCGAACAATGTCCCCGCGTGAACCGGGGCTTTGTTGGAAGTTTCGTTTAGTACTCCTGCTAGGACTGGTACAAGCAGGTTCGGAGAGGTGGGTGGCTCTGAAAAGAGCCTTTGTAATTAATGGTGGAGTCGAGGCTTCACTTGGAGCTTGTGTACTTGGTGACGGCCTTGGTGCCCTCCGACACGGCGTGCTTGGCCAGCTCGCCGGGGAGCAGCAGTCGCACTGCGGTCTGGATCTCCCGAGAAGTGATGGTGGAGCGCTTGTTGTAGTGCGCCAGGCGGGACGCCTCGGAAGCGATGCGCTCGAAGATGTCGTTGACGAACGAGTTCATGATGCTCATTGCCTTGGACGAGATGCCGGTATCGGGGTGCACCTGCTTCATCACCTTGTAGATGTAAATGGCGTAGCTCTCCTTCCTGCGGTGGCGTCGCTTCTTGCCATCCTTGCGCGTAGCCTTGGTCACAGCCTTCTTGGAGCCCTTCTTGGGAGCAGGAACCTTGGCCGGCCCAGCGCTCTTTGATGCGGGAGGATCGGGCATGTCGACGCGTCGTAGGCAGCAGCTTCAGGTCAGAACAGACGGGAAGCGAATGTGGATGTCGCTCGCGCGTTGAGCTCCTTTTATAGGAGGCGAGATGCAAATCAGAGGATCGTAGTGCGCGGCGCTGCTGAGTGGCTCTTTTAGTACCGTCCCTCTCCATCAGCCTCCAATGAGAAACGCGGACGCGATGTTCACTTTAATATCGATTTTACTGCAAAAGGACTGGTGAATATAACACAATGTAATGTCCAAACATGTGTATTAGTGAATTGCAGCCATGGCATTGCCTTTGTTTTAAAAAGGATGACTAGAAAACCCAATACAGTATATTGTGTTTTGAGCGTGGGTTTTTTTGTTTCTTACGAGGGATTGTTTCACCACTCGTCTAATACGGCGCACGGGCGTTTTATGAACGCAATTTGGAAAAATACAAGCGCTCGGTGGAGAAAAATAACTTCGCTGTTGTGCTGTACAGGTGGAGATTAGCATTCCGGCACGCTCCGTCAATTAGGACGAGTGTGCTGTAAGATTGTGGCGCCAAATGCTCTACGTAATATCGTATTCGGCTGCAGCTGGAAATAATTAACGCAAAATACCAGAAATGGGTTACTGTATTAAGGCGTTCAAGAATTACGCCTTGTTAAATGTGTACGTGAATATCATGATTTCTTTCATTCATTCATGTGGAAGCAGATGAAGATTCGCCAACTCAACAAGCGAACGTCCAGCACGCTCACAACAACCCAGGACATGTGCTCCATTCAGAGCGTGTTTGGCAACACTGGCGCAAGCAGTTTCGAAGAGGTGGGTGGCTCTGAAAAGAGCCTTTGGGTTGGCTTAGTGTGCGAGAGATGGGCGCTCAGCCTCCGAAGCCGTAGAGAGTGCGGCCCTGGCGCTTGAGGGCGTAGACCACGTCCATGGCGGTGACGGTCTTGCGCTTGGCGTGCTCCGTGTAGGTGACGGCGTCGCGGATGACGTTCTCAAGGAAGACCTTCAGGACGCCGCGGGTCTCCTCGTAGATGAGGCCCGAGATGCGCTTCACACCGCCGCGGCGAGCGAGGCGGCGGATGGCGGGCTTGGTGATGCCCTGGATGTTGTCGCGCAGCACCTTGCGATGGCGTTTTGCGCCTCCCTTGCCGAGCCCCTTACCGCCTTTACCGCGTCCAGACATTGCGACTACTTGTGACAAAGCTCCTCGCGAGAGACTGCGCGCTCAGCTTGCAGCAGCAGCCGCCTTTATACCCGAAGCGTGGCGACGTCACCGACCACCCCTGCCCTCCGCGATGGCTCCGCCTTAAACCTTCCACCTTTAACCTCTGCGACGAAGAAAACCCTCCACCGTCGTCAATAACACTTCCTTGACATGTATAATATGCGACGTTTTGGGCAATGGCCCTTCTTCGAAGCACTCTGGAATGATATTGGCACACCCGCAGCGAACGCCAGAGGAACACGATCTGTTGCAAGATTGCACGTGGAGTGAATAATCGGTGTAAGGTCTTGTTTTCAAGTGAACAAGATGAACTAACTTTATAATCGTGTGAAGCTTAACGGCTTCCAACACAATAGTTGAGTGAACGTCACCAACTCGTTCTCCCAAAGTAAGAAAGACATTGCAAACAATGCGATATTTACGTATATAAATTAATTTTAATAGAGAAGTTTAAATGGTGCACCGCAATGTTTACAAAACAAAAACAAAGTGAAAAGGCGAGAACGAGCGAATGAAGGCAAATTGAGTAAAGCTGTCTGGAATCAATACATTTTTAGACTAAATTCCATATTTGGCACCAGTAACATGATGACGGAATGAAGAGGTGCAACACATAATCAAAATTGGAGATTCGTCAAGAATGCATCATTTTGAATCTGGATTTAGATTAGAATCGCCAGCGAGAATGCTGACGTCGCTGAGATTACTCTGCACTCAGTTCGAGTGAGGGAGCTGCCACCCGCCTCGCCTGTGTTTGTGATCCCTGCTTTCGGGCTCGATCACTCCCATCACATCAATGCTTAAAACACATCGAGTGGGTGAAATGTTACACAGTTAATTTGAACTAATTGAAGCGCAGCAGCATCTGGTTCACTTTTTTAACGAAGTGGGTGGCTCTGAAAAGAGCCGTTGAGGTGGAGTGAATCGAGCGTCGGTCGTCCCATCGGATTCACTTCTTTGGCGCAGTCTTCTTGGGCTTGGCCGCGGCCTTCTTGGGCTTGGCCACCTTGGGTTTGGCGGCCTTGGCCTTGACGGTCTTGGGCTTAGCGACCTTGGGCTTCGCAGCCTTGGGCTTGGCTGGGCTCTTCGCCGCCTTCTTGGGCTTAACAGCCGACTTCACCTTTTTGGGGCTCTTGGCCGCCTTGGCAGCCGCGGGCTTCTTTGCTTTCTTGGGAGACTTCTTGGGCGCGGTCTTCTTGGCTGCCGCGGGCTTCTTCACCTTCTTGGCTGCCGCGGGCTTTTTAGCTGCGGGCTTTGCCGTTGACGACTTGGGCTTCGCCTTTGCGGCAGCCTTTTCCTTGTTGAGTTTGAAAGAGCCAGACGCGCCGCTGCCCTTCACTTGCGCCACGGCGTCTTTGGCCACGAGCTTCTTGATGGCCAACTTCACGCGGGCATTGTTCTTCTCCACGTCGTATCCTCCGGCAGCAAGCGACTTTTTGAGCGCAGGAAGAGACACGCCGTTCCTCTCCTTGCTGCTGGCCAGAGCCTTGAGGATGAGCTCGGACACGCTGGGGCCAGACCTTCTTGGCCTTTGGAGCGGCGCGCTTCTTCTTGGGGCTTTTAGGCGCTGAAGTAGCCGCAGCTGGTGGTTGAGCAGGAGCAGTTTCCGCCATCTCAAGACGTCGCTTTTATTTACCGAAATCAGCGCTCTCACGAATTCGAACCGAGCGTCCTCCAGGCCCGAGGTTATTATAGAAGCGGCGTACTGAATGCGGACGTCGCTGAGATCATCCAGCACTCAGCTCTAGTGAGGGAGTTTCCTACCATACTCACTGTGTTTATCACGCCTGCCTTTGGGCTCGATTACTCCCGTAACGTTCATACTTACATGCATCTAGTTAATACATCATCACGAAGATCACTTCTTTAATGTACGTTACTTATGCAATATACGACAATGCTCACGATATAAATTATAATTCTAAACAAGTGAACAACCAACATTTGGGAGACATTGTTCGGTCAGGGCAAGATATGATGATTGTCGGTTTTCAAAAGTGTTACTGATGAACACTATTTAAAACGCACTCGAATTTTTTGCAAGACAAGATGCTTCAACAGACTACTCATATTTAATTCCAACAAAATATTTTCTATTTAAGTTTTGCCTCGCGCGCTCGCGATTCCTCCTCTCGCGCTATGGTGAGGACTGCGCGCCATGTCAATCGTCCCTTGTCACCGAACTTTTAACTGGACGTTTTAATCGAACTTTGAAATGAATAAATTTATGGATTTTCAGATGGACAACAAACTGAAGAAAATTACTCAAAATTAACCGACATTATATGGAAAGTTTAACATTTTACGTGGCAAGAGATGAGTAGCTCACGCACTGCAGAAGGGTCGCGCGCCTTGAAGGCACGGTGCACAATCATCACCACTCAAATTCAACTCAAGTGACTCCGCAGTCGAATGTTTAAAGAAAATATATAATCTTACGTTTAATGCATTGACAGAGTTGATATTCTAGGAGCGCAGGATGGTTCATGCGATTAGTTGTTTTTACTGCAATAAGTAACACGTATTTACTGCACTAAGTAACACGAATGAGTAATCATTGGAAAGATGTTATTAACCATGTAAAAAATATTTAACTACACATATTTGTACCATCTTATTTGACAGGTAATATTATACTTTCGCGAGTGTTAACATCCCCAGCGTTTACCAGTACTTTTATGCTTACTATCAGCTAACACCGGCCACAACCCTGAGCTAATGTGCTCATTTGTTCTCTTTTAGCCCCGACACCCCCGCCACTTCCCGGCAACCACATTCAGATAAGCCCCCCTCTTCCCCCCTGATTTGTTATTTTATTATTTATATTGTTTTAGTTATTTATTATTATTGTTTTACCTACGTGACTTTACCGAAAAAACCAAAGAGTATGAATCATTGCAGTCACGAAAGCTACAAATTTAGAACGAATGCAATAATCATTCGTTCCACGCGCATGTGAAGAGGCGTAGTAGATTGGTTTATGCACTTCTGGTAGGAACGAAGTGGACCAGACTCCAATAGATTATATCGTGCGTCCGTTTGTCCGTCCGTCCGTCCGTGTGTCAACATCGCCCCCTACTGCAAACACTTGGCATGACCCTACAAAAACATTTAGACTCAGTGACGCTATCCTGGCTAACCAAGTGTAGCATTCCCTTATAATTCCCTCAGATAGCTTTTAATTACAATGTTACACTCCCTGATGTTTTTAAATAGCAACATTGACATTTAAAGCTTCAACATAAATAATTAAAACATTTATATTAACAATTAACCCACGGCGGCCTAAGGCCTACAGCTAGGCCTAAAGCCTAGACCTAGGCCTCAAGCTCTCCCTTCGTATAGTTCCCCCGCGTGTGTGAAAGGGAGTAAATGGTTAACAAGGTTACATTCCCTGATGTTTTTTAATAGAAACATTTACATTTAAAGCTTTTTCATTAAAAACAACTCCCTACCTCCCCCCCCTCGTCGGCGGCTCTCCAGCCGAGCCAGGCCTGGGAATCTCTCCCCCGCTCGGGGTGTATTGGGCGGGGCTACAGCGGCAGGGGGCGGGGCTACGCGGCAGGGGGCGGGGCTACGCGGCAGGGGGCGGGGCTACGCGGCAGGGGGCGGGGCTACGCGGCAGGGGGCGGGGCTACGCGACAGGGGGCGGGGCTACAGCGGCAGGGGGCGGGGCTACAGCGGCAGGGGGCGGGGCTACGCGACAGGGGGCGGGGCTACAGCGGCAGGGGGCAGGGCTACGCGGCAGGGGGCGGGGCTACAGCGGCAGGGGGCGGGGCTACGCGGCAGGGGGCGGGGCTACGCTGCAGGGGGCGGGGCTACAGCGGCAGGGGGCGGGGCTACAGCGGCAGGGGGCGGGGCTACAGCTGCAGGGGGCGTGGCTACAGCTGCAGGGGGCGGGGCTGGGCGGGGCTGGGCGGGGACACCGAGATGGGGCGGGGCCACGGGTGGCGGGGCGGGGTTACGCGGGTGGAGGGCGGGGCCACGGGGGCGGAGCGGGGCCACGGGGGAGCGGGGCGGGGTCAAGCGGTGGGAGGCGGAGCTTAGCGCGATGGAGGGAGGGGCCGTTGGCGAAAAGGGGCGGAGTCTACAGTCGAGAATACAGTACCGGGGGCGAGGAGGCGGGGCTAACAGTGATAGGGGCGTGGCCCACGGCGCTGCATCTCGTTCAGATTGTTACTACTCACTGTGTCTGCTCCAAGCTGCACTCACGTAGGTACATACTTGTGCAATACTATTATTTTTTTGCAGAACGGTTACTACTACTTTATTGTTTCTTATGTTCCACTACGTCTACGTTTCCATCCACTCATTGGCGCCCATTTTTTGCCATTTCATTTTATTATAGCCATTCAATTGTTCGGTCCTACCAGCCCACCCCACAGGGACCTGTTTTCACCAACGCACAGCAATATTCGTTCCAAGACCAACCCCGGGCACACGTCCCACAGCCCCTTTTAACTCCTCAATCTCCGCAACGCACAGCAATATTCGTTCCAAGACCAACCCCGGGCACACGTCCCACAGCCCCTTTTAACTCCTCAATCTCCGCAACGCACAGCAATATTCGTTCCAAGACCAACCCCGGGCACACGTCCCACAGCCCCTTTTAACTCCTCAATCTCCGCTCCCAATACACATTCGCGTCCAGCACGCCTGGTCCTGGTGACGTCACTGCCCTTTAACCCCTGACCCCCCCGTCCAGCTCTTATTTCCCGCGCGTGTGTGAAAAAAAATTAAGATTGATTGGTGCGTGTTGTCGTGAGAGCGGAGATGTCGTGTTTGCGTGGTGCGTGAGGGTGGCTCGCAGATCCCTTAAAGTGCTTGAACCATTCTCCGACTCCTCTTCATATGTAATCTGACCGCTCAAAAAGAGCGAGTTTTATTCTTTAAAAAAACACGATACTTTCTTCCAATAGGCACCTCAATTTATTCTAAACCATGTTCCATGATTGATGCAATGTTGGAATGCTGCTCAAATACCGTTCCTAAATTAGACATAAAGGGTATCTGGAACGAGCAGAGCATTCGTTTAATTGCGAGCAATTTGGGACGAGGGCAACTCGACGACGGTGTCCTTATTAATAACAAAACCCCTGTGCACGACTGTCCGAGCTCTTTGCAAGCAAGTGGGTGGCTCTGAAAAGAGCCGTTGTTGTGGTGGTAGAGGCGGCGGCGCGTTCACTTCTTTGCCTGAGAGGTCTTCTTGGGCAGCAGCACGGCCTGGATGTTGGGCAGCTGTGGGGGCCGTTGGCCCCCGGGGTCCCTCCCGCCAGCATCCCCTATTCCGTTTAAGTTACCCCACCTCCCTATTACTCGCTACGGTTTTGCCGGCATTCGAATGCGACGCCACTACGGTTACAGCCTCGCGCCGCGCTCCCACGCTGCGAGCATACGTGCGCACATCATCGTCAATCAAACGCCGTGCTCGCAGTATAGCCCTGTGCGGCACGTTACCAATGCGCATCCGTGTCCGACATGTAACGAACGTATGCACACACACACACGCCGCTCCGTGCACTCCAACTACGCAAGTTATGTTCGCGCACCTGTATCACACACGGAGTGAACACACGCGACACCCACTCTTGCGCCGCTCTGCGCAGCGCTCGCCGTCTGCTGGCCGCTTGCGTTATGATCGCGCACCTGGGGTACGCCTATTACGCACGCCGCGAGCTTACGCACACACAGTACCACACGCGTTCCCACACGCAACCCGCGCGCTCAGCTCCGCGCAGCGCTCACTCACGTGGCGAACCACTGTGCACACAGCGCACCCACACGCTCACACTGCACGACAAGATCACGCGAGACCACGCTTCGCTATTAATGATTTATTATATGCCACCTGCGAATTGATGTTGAATCAGTGAGTCGACGAGGCTGGCCTATTCCACTAAACCTGTACCTATTCCCTATTTATCGGCTTACGATACCCTACTTCACCTCCCCACTCACTGTTTGGTGCCCGCGGAGGTTCGCTGCTCTCTGCGCTAACAGCGTACCTCGATGCGTCGCACGGACGTCCGGGTCGCTGGCTGGAAGTCCTGCTGGTCCGCTGGCCTGGAGAGAAGGGAGCTATTTTCCCTCTGCGCCCCTCTATTTATCCTCCCTACCTTCAAGGGGATGCTGCGCTAAACAATGGGCTCGCGATCCTCTGGCACGCGCACGGCGGTTCTGGGTGCTGTTGATATGCTAATCAGTGTGCCGCGTGCAAGGCGTAAATCCTACTTAATCCCTTACCCTCCCTAACAATGGGGCCTGCGCGCTCAAGCGCAATTATCCCAACCCCCCATGACTATGCGCAACAGCCCCTGTGACCCCGCTATTCATGCTGTCTCGTGCCTCCCCTGCTTGCCCCGTCGACCCGTGGGAGTGTGTGTGGGGGGAAATGCGCCTCAACCGCGGTGGCCGAATGCCCCACGCCACGACCTACCATATTAAGGCCGGCCGCAGCGCCGCGGTGCCACGTAGCACGGGGAGGTCATCCAATTCCCTGATCGCCGGAAACCGTGAGAATTAATCCCGATAAGGGTCTCTCGGATAAAAACCGGTCGATCAGGTGACCTTCCCTTCCAGCTCTATGGGGGGGGGGGGAATGCGTGCGGGTGTG